ATCCTCATAATCCTAGAGAAAGTCAAATGAAACAAAGCTTCAACACAATCTTCCCGGATTTTGCATGTTTCATTTTCTCCTGTGAAGTTGTTTCTGTGTCTGCCAGCCATGTGGATTGCAGGATTTGCAGGCAGGGTGGTTGTTTTATAAATTATGCTTCCCTCAGCTTATCTTCCTCATATAGCAACAGATAGTTATATTCTATTTATGTCTTAGCCAGACCTGTTTGCAACGTGATCAAATAGTGGCACTGCACCTCTCAAGACCACATGTACCTAAAGCGGTGTTTTATGAACAGAAAGACCTAATTTTTCATTATTATTTCCTGCAGAACTTTATAGATTAAGTATGTTTTCACATCTCAATGTGGCAATATTCACTCAACTTTATTCTCCTCTTGCAAGTGTTTCCCTACGGTTACACTTAGTTGCTGAAAAACCTTTCCTGTTTTCTTAGTGTTTCCAGCTATGCTTTCCTCACTGTTCTTCATATATTAAAAAGACAGACATTTTAACTGTGGGGTTTGTTTTGTTTTTTTTGTTTTTTTTTTTAACTGAGACATTATCACCCAAAAATTGCAAATCAAAAGCACGCAAACTTTAGCGTAAAAATAATTTTATCTTCAAACTACAGCTCTAAATTTTAGATTAACAGTACTATTAAACAAGCGATAGTTTTGCAACTTAACAAGTGATATCGATACACAACTCTCAAAACCAAAGACATTTTCTAAAACTATGCTAATTCCAGTCAGTTTGATGTACTTCCTTCTAACAAGAATATGCCATTGTTAGAATTGTATTATTTATCGTGATGAGTAAGACCTTATTCCATAACTACTCTACTGTAAAATGAATACAAGTATTAAGTAAGGGACTATTTCAGGATCTGTACTGTATTATTGTTGTGGTTTAGGCAATTATGTAGTTAATAGAAAGGCCAAATCTTCAGTAAGCAGTGGTGACTTAACTTTATGCATGCCAACGTATACCATTTGAGGATATACCCCGGAAAATCCTAACAGGTTTTACAGAGTTTTTAATATTCTTTTTCTCTGGATAATTTTCATCCAGTTCATTTTTACAGAATTAGTCGCAGTTGATCCGTTCTGACAAAAAACTTACTGCTGCTACCGTACAACAGAAAAACTCATCGTCAGTGCAACTCTTTTAGAGATTCCAAACTTCCTCTGCTTCCTAATCCTTGTCTGTAATGTCATCCTCATGCTCAGTAAATGAATCTGGCAAAGAAGGTGCTTTTTTAATTCAAAATGAAGTTTCAAAATTATGCAAATTCCTGCTCTTAACTACACTAGTTAAAAACTTTCAGACACCATAAATTACATTCTCAGCCACACCTCCAAGCACGTTCTATTATTACTCTTATTGCAAATTACTCTAAGTATCAGAAGAGGCTTCAGAATCATATTTTACACATCTAAACCAAAAAGTTCTGAACTTCACTGTTTATGTTTTATCATGTACTTGGGATTCCTTTTACTGCAACCCAAAGAATTCAGATTATCTAAAGAACATTTAGTACGGATAATAAAATATGTAGGTATCCACCCCTCAGAAAACATTAACTTTTATTTAATATTTCCACTCTGACAAAGCACGGTTTGCAAAAATTCTCCTGATTTTATGGATGTACATCTTTTAGTTGTTTTCTTTTTCTAAACTTCAATGGCTTATGTTACTATCAATACAAAGCACTCTTTCCATTAGCATTTCTGTATCTGCAAATGAAATCTGAAAACTTCTGCCATACCATTTAGGAATGCAGCATGTTTGCTTTCATTCAGATGCTCTTTTTAAGTTAGCATTCCTATATTGAACAAGTACCATAAGTCTGTATTTTTGCAGGAATGTTTATCTCTGTCCATAATTATTATTCCATTGATGTATGAGGCACGGTACTTTGATCCTATGAAAGCACATGTGCCATAAAAAAATTAAAATGCCATCACTGAATTGTTAAGTTTCTTATCTGGTTTACAGGAAGACCTAAAATAGCAGATTCATCCAGTGTTTAGAAGTAAATATATTCTTGAATATATATGATCGTGCTTAGGGCAATATTGTAGGCAAATAGATGCGCTCACGAGAGAAAAATGGATCAGTACTGAACCAAAAGAGTTAGGAGAGTCCAGTGCAGAAAGGAACAGGAAACTTAGGTTAACAAAAAGAACAAAAAAAAAAAGGAGAAGAGGGAGGACTCAGGAGAAGGAGAGATCTTTAACAGGTATAAATCAAGAAAATCTTACCATAGGGAGGAAGAAAATAATTTCATGTTTTAATAAGTCAGACTTTACCAGTACGCAACTTCTTATATCTATCCCACTTTTTGCAAGTGAGCTGTGTAGGACTCAATTTTTAAAATAAAGACTAATGCTGTATTTTGTTAAATTTAAATGTCTTTAATATGGATTTTATTTTCTTCACATTTGATTTTACATTTCTACAAACATCTTCAAATTACAAGTACATTAGGAAACCAGCACATTTTATGAAGACAGAAGAACAATTCTTCTTGACTATTCAAAACCATAAAAAATTCATGAGTGCCATATTCTTCTTTTTTCTGTCTTCACTAAAGTACTATGTCTTACAGAAAATACTGGTATCAGCATCAAAGGCAAGGGTCAGCAGTCTTCCACATAAGAAGTTAGGACAGTAGTCTCAACATGGAAGGTAGGAGAGGTAGCAAGTGAAAAGCTTCAGAAGAGATGGTAGCTAAAAAGAGTCAGGAAAAAGAAAAAAAAAAGAAAGGAAAAAAACAGGGAAAGATAACAAGATTGAAAAGGACAGGAAAAAAAACAAATTACACAGGAAATAGCAGCAGTAACAATTGTGCTTATTTATTTTAGAAACAGTACAAGAAGAACACTGACAGAAAAGGTGAGGAATAAGGCAGCCATTCTTAAAAAGAAAGACGTCTACAGAAAAGACCTAGTATGGCATGAAATGGCCAGTTATTCCCCTCTTAAGGTGACGGGCCGCTCACTTAACTTTTAGTTTGAGCTAGTCAGCTCAAAGCAGGACTCCCGTGAAGTCAGCAGACTGAAACGGGCACCTCCAGAGGGCGATTCATCCCATCCTAAGGTTTGAATCTTAGATTCTGCATCACATGTTTGAAATGTAATTCATTTTCTGAAGTTCACTAGGTATTTCTGAACCTAGCAACGAATCTTTAAGATGAATGCCTACGGATAACAACATTTGGATTAAAATAATATGAGAAACAGCATCTTTTCAAACTTCCTTTACTCTGAACAAAGAAAATTTACTAATGACTTTCATCTGCACAGACCATGTAATATGTTTGAGCTGCATGGTGTTTTTCTATTACTGAGCATTACTTGTGTTCACTATACTGAGAAAAAAAAAATTAAGTCTGACCCAGATAAAAGACAATTTGCTTTTCTATTAGGACTAATTACGTACTACTGAGGCTTTAAGTTTATCTGCTCTAAGTAAAAATCAAAGCTTGACATCACTGGAATTCTATATTCCCAATATTAAGACCCGATTTAGGAAATATCACATTTAACTGATACTTAAAATAGCATGGCTGATATTTCAGCCATTTGTTACTAAATACAGTAAATACTGCTGCGAAAAGATGCTGAAATCCTCTGTCACAGTCCTGTACACTTACATTATAATGGTTATTTTAAATGAACTATAATTAAATACAAGCGTCATGGGCGAAGGGCTGGTTTGAAAGTTGGTATCTAGCCCAGTCTCTGTGCGGGAAGCTTCAGCGTGGAGCAGGTCTGTGGGGACAACCTCTTCACACCACCTTGCGAGCCCAGCCGCAAAGCCAAGACTTCGCTCTTACAGAACTGCATTACCAAAGCATAAATAACCAGAGGAGAGGATGGGACAGGGAGCTTTCCTCCTGGGCACTGATCTGGGGGCTAGAATATACACCAGAGAGACAGTTCACAGTCTGCACTTTCTTGTCAGCACAGAGGGACATAATATTGAGACGGTGCAATTCATACCTCATCGGAGACCTATGCATGCAGTGGCCTTCCATTAATGACTGTTTCAGAATGCAGTCATCCTGACACTGCCTACTGCATGAGAACAACACAGAGTTGTCAGTTACAATGCCATTAAAAAGACAGCTTTAAAATCTAAATACTGTTCCATTTGAAATGTGACTTTGCACTGGAGAATTTATACGATCTGAACAACTCTAGAGTCATGTAATATAAAACAGCGTAACACTAATGAAAAACAACAGTAAGGGCTAATTATAAAATACAGCACAAAGTCTCTTATTTAGAACTTCTGAAAGTTGTAACTGCATTTAATTTCATTTTCCTTTTAGAATTAACATAAAGAGTACAGCTATGTCAGTTTTTCAGGATTGGTATCTTCACGGGGCGACTCGAAAAACTGCTGCCCAGTGAGACAGGCACTGCACAGGAAAGGGAACCCAATCACACAGCGATTTATAGCGTGGTTGTTATGCAGACCTATCCCTCTCTATCAGCAGAAATTAATACACTACCTTCCAAAAAGTAGATGTTACCACTCCAAAATTATTTGTGAATTGGCACCGTAAGGCCTCCCGGTGCTCCACCCGTCTTCACTCTTTCTGTCCCCGGTTGGAACTGGGCAGTTTTAGAGGGGATGCTGCACATCAGCCTGGGGTTCAGTTACACTAAAGCCTTGCTCAGGTGGACAGTTCAAGTGTTTTATGCGTACCACCAAGTGAATATAAGAGAATGGGAGGTCCCTATCTCAGTACTTAAAAATAAACAAGTTTCTAGTATGGTAATTTATAAAGAGCAGTTATAGTCACTATATAAATATTAGTTAATTGTTCGGTTTAAAAAGTACATCATTTCTCTAAACATTTACTCTGCAACAATACCATATATACTCATGGGAATCATGCAGTAACTAAGTGCATAAATGAACAAAGTACTGAATTAATTTTTTTTGTTTTCTGCCAGTTTCCTAATTCATTTTATTTTATTACAGCTTATGGATGAAATCCACACACCGATGTCTAACCTGTAGTGAAAGCCAGTGTAAGTAATCCAATGTTCTATAGCTATATTTGGTTATGAATTGATTGACTCTGCTTAGTCCTGTTGAATAATGGTTAATTAGCAGTTTCAATTTTCAATTTCGGCATTATTACAATTAGGCTTTGTACAAATTTTGCCACTCTTAAGTGTTATTGCCCACCCACCCGTGCCTTGCCCCAAATGCTAGTGACTAGAATTAACAACCGAAATATATCTAAACAACTGGCTTTGATTTTTTTGTTGTCTAATAGTGTCTTTTTTTAAGAGCTGACTTAGGAAGACAGAACACTGGGACAGTCATCGTTTTCTAGTAGAATAATGCACTTTGTGATTCAGGTTGGCTCTGAAAGTCAATTTAAAGCCTTCCTTAGAAGCAACTGTGCTAAAGCAAAAGTGCACAGAGAAGAAAGTACAGCTCAGCACAGCAGCTAGTCAGAAAGCTGAAGTCTCAATCCGTTTTCCATGCAAGCATAAAGCGTAACAGGTCTGAGCACTGAATACAAAATATTAGTGCAAATACTTACCAGACTCCTCCCTTTTCACCCTATTATTTCTCCTATTCTTGTTACATTGTTTTTCATCTTTCCCTTCCTTCTGTAAAGGAAAATAATTTCCTCCTCTCCATTTCAGTTTCTTCCTTTCACATTTGCTTTTTCCTACTCACCTGCACAATTTCTGAAATTTCAAAATGTAAAAGGGCTATGGATCCAATCCTGGGTTCAAATTCCAAATCCTGGAAGCTTTTAGCATGGCTGAAGATCAATGACTTAAAATTTCAGTGTTTGTGTTCTCTCATTTCCAACAAAGATAGAAAATCACCAGCAATGAGAACCTATTTAGATAACTGTAATCTTAGAATAAGAACAGCATTCTGTGAAGAGCTCTGCTCATACAGCAAACATAACAGTGATTTTTACTGATTTGGAACTATATTATTATCTCTGATACCTTATTTTTATGCTCAGCTGTTAGGAGAGGAGCACATCCACTTCTCTCCTTTAGTAGCCATTTTAAATGATGCACTGAATGCCTCAACAAATGAAAAGATTCATGTCTTTAAATAATTTATAACCAGCTTCCAATATTTAGAAGAATATAAAAATAGCTAGAGTTAAGGCTAGCATACGGTACACAAATGTAAGTATTTTTTCTCCTATAGCAATTCATCAACACTGATTACCCGTATCCATGACATACATTTTTAGATGCCAACTCTTCTAAACATGAAATCCATGTTTACATGATTTTTTTCAAGCAACTTAATAGCCATTATATCAAATGTTGTTTCACACATAGTATCAACATTTGATGTTTCGCTGGCATGGTAACAGAAAGTCAGCTCAGTATAAGTTACTTTGTAGAGGATAGTGCCAAAACTTCAAGGTGTCCCCTCTCAGTAAGCAGGAACTCCTGCAGTCTTTAAAGATAAAATGACATATGACAAGCAGTAAGAGTAGAGCCAGTTTTTAGGGACCAACATTGACTAACTAAAAGAGAGATCTCTACACCCACTATAAAAATCTGCCCAAGAAAGAAACACCAAAACAGTTTTCCATTAAAATGTACCCTCAAAAAAAAAAAAAAGCTTTATTTTCTAATTGTTACAGTGATCTTGCTACCTAACATATTTGTATTGTCAGGTGCTGAAAGGCTTATTAATTAATTACTGAATTTGAAACTTTTACAGAAAACATGCTTCTGGCTAGCTAAGTTTAGTCACAGATGTAAGTATGCAATCATATATTAAGAAGGAAAACTGTTAAATAAAAGCTTGATACTTATGAAAAGATCTGTACCAAAAAAACCCCTGCATTTAAAAAAACACCCCTCACATTTAGGGGGATGCCCTAAGACGTTGGCTCTTGATCTTTCTGCAGACCTTTCAGCCTTCATGAACAACTTTTAAGGGATCTACAAAACAATAATTAAGAAAAGCAACCGTCCTGTCAGTAACCTTCAACTTATGTCCAGTAGGTGCAATCACCCACTGGATTAATTAATTTATTTATTTTTCGGATCACCAGAAAATGCAAATAAAAGGGCTTTAGAAATCCAAGATTTTTTCTGCTGTTTAGTAAGACAAACATTATCTAGAAAATCATAATTCATCATGTGGAAAAAAAAAAAAAATCATCACAGTCTAATAAGTACTACATGAAGAGGGGAAAAAGAACAGAAGAATTCATCTGTGATCAGCAGGTTTCAAGTGATGTGACACGTCTCACTTGGAGAAAATCCAACCTGTATGTTGGAGAGGAGAGGCATTATTATTACTTTGCACCCAGCACTTTGCATAGCATCGCATTTGAGTGCCTTTTTACTCAGCACGGGTGAGGCCACACCTTGAATACTGTGTTCAGTTTTGGGCCCTTCACTACAAGACAGACATGGAGGTGCTGGAGCGTGTCCAAAGGGCGGCAAGGAAGCTGGTGGGAGGTCTAGAGAAAAAGCCCTGTGTGAAGTGGCTAAGGAAGCTGGGGCTGTTTAGCCTGGAGAAAAGGAGCGACCTTATAACTACCTGAAAGGAGGGTGTAGTGAGGTGGGTGTTGGTCTCTCTTCCCAAGTGACGGGATGAGAAGAAATGGCCTCAGGTTGCACCGGGGGAGGTTTAGGCTGGGTATCAGCAAACATTTCTTGATGAAAAGGGTTGTCAAGCACTGGAACAGGCTGCCCAGGGAAGCGGCTGAGTCACCGTCTCTGGAGGTGTTTAAAAGACGTGTGGACATGGCACTTAGGAGGACATGGTTTGGTGATGGACTTGGCAGTGTTGGGTTTACAGTTTGGACTCTATGATCTTAAGGGTCTTTTCCAACTTAAATTACTCCCTGATTCTATGATTCACCTGTCTGCACCTGCAGTGCAGAACCCCACGGGCAGGAGACAGGAGGAGGTACAGTGGGACAGAAGAGAAGCTTTTGACTGGAGGGAGCTGTGGGACTATTTGTACCGCTGCATGTAACTGTCCCTGGAGTAAGCAGGAAAGTAGTTTTCCACTTAAAATGGCCACGTGCAGAAACTGGAGAAGAGGCTGGGGTTCCAGAAGATACAGGGAAGGGCGTAGCTAGGGCGAGTGTGGAGTGAGACAGATTGAGATAGAGCTATAGCCATGTTCTGAGGTAAAGTGACTCCCAACGGACGCCAGTGTATTTATTCAACTGTGACCTCTCTGACTCTCACAGAAACCCTGTTCTGATCCCTACTGTAAATTCGTCGGTCGCACCCCCTCACCCCCAGTCCTAGCCACACACCCTACCACTGCTTCTGTAGCCATGTGCCTTGCCTAGACTCCTGAATCCCTCTCTCCCGTCACTCACAGATGATACCAGGGAATAACCTTTTTCCACACCACAGCAGAAGTCACTCTCTCCTCCCTTACACATCCCTTTCTGATACAGGGCAAAGACTCCCCTCGATCTTCTATTCAGCTGGTAGCTTAAGCCTGAGCAAACACAACTTCAGAATCATGCAAGTTAGCAACAGGTGTTTAGCAAGATAACAGAAACACGTGCACAAAGCCCTTAGTTTTCCATGTATGTATCAAAACACATGAGCAAGAAATATGGAATAAAACAAAGGTTACAGAGAACATGCTTGCCTGCCAACTTTCTTTAGTTCCTTTTAAAACACCACTGTCAACAGTGTTTGTTTCCAATATTTTGTTTAAATTTCATAAAGTACACTACAGTAATTTTAGATTAGTCAACTGATTCCTTCAGGATAAACATATTTATACCATTTCATTAAATCTTATAATTTGGCATTTCTCAAATTCAACACCACTGTAATTCCTAACATAAAGACACACGCTATGTTGGGAAAGAAAACATCTCTACAAATTACTTATGGATGTGCTTAGATGGTAACTCATGACAGTGGGAAATAACCCTTGTCACGGGCAACTAAAAGCACTGATAATACAAATACTTTATGATTCTGGAAAGTTTTCATTAGGAAAAAAAAAAAAAAGTAGTAAGAGACCTGATACAATGACAAATAAGAATTTTACAACGTAAAATTACCATTCAGGTAGCTGACATAAATTAAAAGAAGTTGGTCAAATAGAATTTGAATTGTTTTTAAAGCAATAAACAGACATTGTAATAAGACATGCTAATACTTGTAAGGAATGTTTACGTCTGTTAATAATGACAGAATAGTAAATTTTAAAATGTGTTTTTTCCGGCAATGAGAAACCAGGTATTAATTCAAAGACAGATACATGTTTTAATCTAGTGGAGCTGACAAGTTTAATCTCTGTCTGATGAGGACCCAAGACTTGAAAAATTATACTCACTTCTCAGAAAACAAAATCTACTAGTCTTGAGTATATGCGAAAAAATAGGGGTAGGAGAGACTTTTAGTGATACTCAAGGACAACACAATGATTAAGGACCCCACGATCCTGTTACTGGGAAAGGCATGGTGGGGACAGAAGGGTTAATGCTACCACACTGCTCTTCCTGGCTCCCTTCTGGGAACCTCTTGATGTTGCTTCAGGTGGAGAGGCAGGCAAACTACCTAAAGCTGAGAAAGTGGGGAGTGCTTTCTACCTTCAAACCTTTTCTACCTCAAACACTCCAGCACAGTGGTTCCCGTATTTTTGGAACAACAGATCGTTATCAGCCCTTAACATTTTTCGAAAACCACCCATCTGATCACACTTTTAATTGGAAACACTATTTAAAACACTATTAACTATGGTTTAGCCAAACAGCTGTTCAACTTACCATAGCCTTGTAGCCCACCAGGGGTTTGTGGACCACAGCTTGGAAACCACTCCAGCTGTTTCAAAGGTACAGTGATGTCTTCCACTCCATCCCTCCCTCCAGGCCTTCTGGTTGCTGTCTGAAACATTTCTGCTTCTTTATCTGATTTCCCCTGGGATTAATTTTAGGGCCTGCTACGGCTTTTAGCCTTCTGAAGTATCAGCAAACTGGCATTCTCCGTCGCCCACAGGTTTGTAAACAACAGAAGTAAAACTGATCTGCCCATCCATAATACTGCTACTGCCAGATAAAGGAACAAACTGAAACAGAGGATAAAACGTATCTGCAGATTTAGGAAAATGGGACCAGTTTATATTTGATTCATGTTTGAAAATTTATCATCAATCAATGAGAACTACAAACTTTTATTTACAGAAAAGCTAGAATCCTGAACAGGTTGGATTTTGGCCACAGCTGGTTCAGAACAAGTGACATTTTCAAGACCAGTAAACAGTTAGGTTTTGTGCACTTGAAAAGATGTATCCACAAAACTACAGCAGATAAAACTGGTGCTAAGCTGCCTTTTGCCATCTTAAAGATCACCCAAATTAAACTGAACAGTGACCAAAGGGCCCTTATTCTTCTACTATGAGAAACAGGGAGTTAAAATCCTGATTAAAGGCTTCCATGTATTCGCTGCTTTAGAGACCTTTCTCACATTACCTACTCCTCAGTCAACATTCTTCCAAATTGAGGAATCTTGATCCATTTACTGTCCCCGCAGAAGAGCTGTGCCATACCTCTTACTCATCCTCTTCTATATCGTACACAGTTTTCATCAATGCTCAAAACTGACCAGCATACCAGTGCCACTCCTCTGTTTCAAATACCCCTTTGGTACTTTTAGCTACCCTCAATTCCATTCGGAATGATTTTAGGAAATTAGCAGCAGCTGCTAAAATTCCATGCAAACGCCAATAAGGTGGCTTGAGAGCCCCAGCTTCTCACAGGAATAAGATACTACTTATCAGCTTGACAGTGATATTCCACCCCTGTGACAGACAGGAACTCCAGGATCAAACCCCATACTTTAAGCCCATCAGGATGTGAAACCCTGCGAAATAGGAAGAATCTTCTCTTCACCTTGCAGCCCCTGCTGTGGTCAGAAAGGGTTAGAAAGAACAGTCACCAGTCCCCGCCTTCCTGAGCAGCAGGACTGGTCACAGCCTGCTGAGCTGGCCGCTTAGGGGGCGATGGCTGCTGCATCCAACAGCCACTGCCTCTCTCCGCTGAGAGATGTGACTGAACAGCAGCATCAACAGCATCTGGCCTCTGTGACAGCTAGGACGCCGGGATCACCACAGGTCCTGCTGTGAGATCCTTCCACAACTCCTCAGGGTCAGCATTAGGTCTGACTCCAACCGAGTGTTTTCCCTTTTCTCATCAGCAATCTTTATCGCTGCACTTTTTCAGACCGTTTAGGAACAGGTGGGCCAGCAAAGGTGCCAGTACAAATCTTTGTGAGGTGGCTTTGTTAAAACGGCCCATTAGTCGCTATGCTCTTCCTTATCTTGTAACCCTCTACTAATCCACGAAGAATTTTAAGTAACTCAATACTTCATTTTGTTAACAGTCTTTGGTTATCGAGTTTTTTAAAAAACTTAAGGGTCACCCATTCCTGTGTATCTGTTGACGCCTCCAAATAACTAGCAAAGCTCTAAGACAAAACTACCTTGTACAAAAGCCAAGACGATGGTTGCCTATTACACCTATCCATGTCGCTATGAATTCTATTCTTCATCACATTCACTGGCATTTTGTCTGTCATGCTAGTCAGGCTTATTAGTCTATTAGCCCACGATCACCCCTAGAGCCCTT